GTCGGCAGAATTCGGAGACAATTCCTTTATTTTTTGAGCATTTGTTAAATTTATCGACCTAGGCCGACTTACCCAATCCTCAGACCCTGGGACTTCACTCGGGGAAATTCGTGTAGTGAAGTTGGGCGTAAAGTCGGTGTGGGATTCTACCCGGGGAACTATGGTAATATTTTATAGCAGTAGTGACTGAGAGAGTTTTCTCTATTGTTGAAAAAACAAAACCAAGCTTCGTGCTAGCATGACAACAAAAACTTAAAAGTGCTTTAATGACACACAAGCTGGAAATGTTGAACAGAGATTATAAGTGTCATTCGAATAAATATTGACGTTATGACTCCAATGAGATCCAGCGAAACAAGCAACATACTGTGCCCTTCATGGTGAAGTCTGTAAGCCTACTGATTAAAATGTAACTTAAATATTTTTTCTTGGTTGTGAGATAAATAAACAGTAAACTTCAAATTAAGTAACTCTTGTTTTGTTTGAAGCAACTGTACAGGAATTAGGATATATAATTGTCATCTTAATTTTTTGTCACCAATGAATAGCGTCCCTATTTTTGATATTCGAATGTTGGCAGGTATGTAAATATACAGCATTTGATGGACGGACCGGTATGGGGGTGTAGGTGTACGTAAAAACATTAGAAACCATTACTGGACTACAAATCCCTCTAAACTATGTTTACGTACAAAGGAACGTACGCACCTGTAGGGTTCTGGTTTATCTATTGTCTGGCAACAATTTAAAACACTGCTAATGGCAAACAGTTGGGCCGATTGTTGACACCTCTCATACATGGGGTGTTAACCACTTGGGGTCAAAGGTCACACAAACCCAAAATTTTTAAGACATTTGTCAAAATAACCGGTGATACCGAGTAACTTTTTTTGCCATTAGTGTATTGTGTATTAAAAAAGTAAATAAAACATTCCTTTTCAATAATTTTGAAAAAAAAAAAAAAATAATTTTAAAAAAAAAAAAAAAAAAAAGTACCAATCAGATTTGATTGAGCGTCTTTAGCAAAAGAAGCCGGAAAAATATCGCTCAGCCAACTGTTCGACTCCTATTTTTATACAGTCACTATTAATAATTTGAAGTCTACTTCAAATAACATAGCACAGTCTTGTCCTTTGCACATATTCATAATAATAATGCAGGGTCTTTAGGATGTTCATGAATTTAGGGTCAAACGTCATTAAAGGGTCGTCTTTCTTTCTTACAAAATTATTTTTTATATTATTATTTTATCTTACTGGATAAAAAAGACATTCAGTATTTGTGGGCTGATAGAAGAGTAAAGTTCAAAAGTAAAATTTTTAACATGATCCAATTGAGCTCAAATTTACCAGGAATGACCTTACTGGGTTCATGTTCTATTGAACATATTTTTTTTTTAAATGGAAAAGATGTGTGAGAATTTTATACAGATGAGAATTATGATGTGGGCGAAGGTATACACTCTTGGGAGTGTGCTCTAATTGTTACTACTGTACAGTATTACTATTACTACTATTACTAATACCATGGAGGTATTATTGAGAAGGAGATCACTCAGCAACAGTTCCCTTTGACGCAATAATGTGTTCCCCGCCTTTGGATGTCGTGCAGGCGTATTACCTTATTTTTAACATTTTTTTCGTTGGCAACAGCTTGGCAACGGCATGCTTTTATACGCTTCAGCACAGCAGTTGTGCGATAAACCATTTGATTTTAACTCATTAAATATCTTTAAAATTAACAATGTTCCCCTGATTGGATTTTTTGCGGACTTTTAGTATGTTATTATGTGTATATTTGATGAACAGATTTCACAATATATTTCTGTTACAATTACTTTTGTGTTCATTATAATTTTGTCTAAAAATTGACTGGTGTGACTAAAATGCTAATGCAGCGTAAAACTGAAAATCACCCTGACTTTGGATTGAATTTTCGAATAGTTAACCCTCGTTAACCCTAAAATGACTTAGTTTATTATAATCCTCAATCATTTATTAATTAATATCTGTTAAAATTAGAATTATAGAATTTTATCCAATTTATGGAAATTTAAGTTGAAATATACTATACTTTCAAAGCTCATGTAAATGTTTAATTAAATTCGAAACACTTTTTGTGGAAAATATTAATATATTGTATGTATGAAAGATAAATGTATCAGCTTCGAAATGGAAACAATTGCGCAGCCATAGTGATTGACTGTATGTAGTGCGCATTGAGAAAAGAATGTGCTCTCCATTTCGCCATGTTCAATTTTTTGGTAAACTAAGTCTGCTGAGCATTTGGTGGCGGGGAACACAGCAGACTTCAAAGTCATTGCGCAAACGTTCTTCACGTTCTTGGCTCATTTGCATAGCGCTGTGTGCACGTGGCTTTTTCCGCAATAATACCTACATGCTAATACTTAGTTTTAAGTCTGTTAAACCTTATTTTTTTGTACTTAATGGTTTATGGTGTTGTTATTAGTTCCTATGCATGTAATGCAATAGGAACTATTGTAATCACTCTTGCTATTTCCTATGTTTTTTATTGTGTGTAGTGTGTATGTGTGTGTGTAGACATTTATGCAAATGCGCATGCGTCAAAGAAAAGTTTTCCGACATTTTGTTTTACATCGCG